CCGCGACTCCACTTCGACTGCAGCAGTAGGGGAAGAGGGCACCCCTCTCGCCACAGCCCACCAATACACATCCGAAGTGGGCTCGCCAAACCCACTCGGAGTGGCCTGTTCGGGCCAGCCATGTGGGTTCCTCTTAGTTCACCGCGGGTGACCAACCTACAGCTACTAAGCCCCCCCCCCCGCCGGCACTACAAGGCGGGAACCCGTTCGAGGGGGGGGAGGTAATATGAGGCAGCCTAGCTTAGTAGTTTTCGTCCGCTCACCCCCTTTGATTCGCAACATAATTTTTAGTTTCAACAATAATGTTTTCTTATGTTTACGTGAACACTAAACACACACATTGAATGAAACTAGTTTTACGGATTTGTTATTGTTTATTAACTAATTTTATATTCCTGACGTCTCGAGTAGATACCTTACAGCACCCATTGTCACAGGGGGAGTGAGATGTTCGACGTTACAATGTCATTATCTATGGCGTAGCTATGTCATCAAGGGCCCCGGGCCAAAAATTAAATTGGAGGCCTATTCAAACTAAACTAAATATTTTAAAGGCGCAAAACTATTTCATCATCAGCTTATCCCCCCCCCCCACCCGCAAGACACAATTAAGCAAAGATACTTACTCCGAAGACCATTGTTTGTAACGCAGCAAATAGTATTAAACCATATTTCCTAATAATGTTATAAATTTATAATATTTGTACCGCCTTACAATACCATGTTTCTAAGCAAATAAAGAAATTATTAGGTATAAATGAGAAAGTTTGTTTGTTTGTTACGCTTTTACGTAAAAACTACTGAATAGATTTAGATGAAATATTGCACATGGAAGGAGCTCGCAACCTGGGTAGGACATTTCTATAAAAGGATCCTGTGTGTGTGATGTTTGGTGATGAGGTGGGATAAAATTTTGGGTTTCAGTTCGAGCCGTCCGTGTTCGAGATTTGATCAGTGGCCAAATATAAAAGTCTAAGACTTTTTTTGTCGTTTATATGCCGAAGTTCCTCTTTGAGCTTGGGGCTCCGGAGCACTACCCTGTCTAGCCCTACGCCACTGGTTAATCATAGTTAAACATAGCCACCTACAGTTCAAAATTATTAAGTTTTGGTCCAATTTACGCAGAATGAGCTTATAATATCTTGGAATCTTGCAGTTATATGCTTGGGTTGCGATTTAATTTTATAAATTTTAAGATCCGAAGAAGAAAACAGCACCGGCATCTTCTCTATTGAAATAAGGTATTTATTTGATTTCAATAGTTTTTTATGATAACATACATACATACATAGACACTCACGCCTGTCACCCAGAGGGGTAGGCAGAGACTACAGACTTCCATTTAGCACGATCCTGACATACCTTTCTCGCCTCTTCCACATCCATATACTTACGCATACATGCTCGTCGGTTAAGGGTACTCTTAATTTGGCCCATTTTTAGTATATCGCGAATTTGGTCGACAAACTTCCGCCTAGGACGTCCCTTTCCGACTCCTCCATTCACTTCTGCAACATATATTTGCTTTGTCAGTCTTTCCGCATTCATTCTTTCCACATGACCAAACCACCGAAGCATTCCTTTCTTAATCCTGGTCACCGCATCATCTTGCAAACCACACTCTTCTTTTATCACACAGTTTCTCACCCTGTCACTCAGATTCAGCCCTAACATACTCCTTAGCGACCGCATTTCTACTGCATTTATTCTACTCTCGTGCTTCTTCTGCCACACCCAACTTTCACTACCATACGTTAAAGTAGGGACTAATACAGCACTGTGAATTGCCATACGTGCCTTTTTTGACACATTCTGACTTTTCACAATAGAGTGTAGAGCCCCATTTACTTTATTTCCTGCATTCACTCGTCGTTCAATATCCTTATCATATCTCCCATCCCTGCTGAATACACATACCAAATATACGAACTCATTCACTTGCTCAATTAACTCTCCTTCTATTCTTATTTCACATACCGTTTTGCTTTCATCTCTTTCAAAAACCATCACTTTCGTCTTACTTGCGTTCACTTTCATTCCCCATTCTTTTAATGACCTGTTCATTAATGTAACCATCATTTGCAACTCGGCCGCCGAAGAAGCAAGTATGACTTGATCATCGGCGTACAAAAGGCATTTGATGGTTAACTCACCCATTCTTAACCCGCATTCTTCAACTTTCAAATTTTCCAAACAGCTGTCCATAAATAGGTCGAAAAGCCACGGGGAAGCTACACAGCCCTGTCTGACACCTTTATGGATGCTAAACCATTCCGAGTAGACCCCGTTGATTCTAACACAAGCACTCGAGTCCCTATACAGAGACTTTAATGCCTGTATCAAACCAGCGCTCAACCTAAATGCGTTCAGCATTTGCCATAACACATCCCTGTCCACTCTGTCATAAGCCTTTTCCAAGTCCATGAACGCACAAAAAACTTTTTGGTTTTTCGCTAAAAACTTCTCCGCGATCATGCGCATGGAAAAGACTTGATCTGTACACCCCATTCCCTTTCTAAATCCCGCTTGCACATCCCAAATTTTTTCATCAGTTTCTTTCATAACTCTTTCAATTAGTACCTTAGCATACAGTTTTCCCACAATGCTAAGAAGGCTGATACCACGGTAGTTTTTACAGTCCTGCTGTGACCCTTTTCCCTTATATATTGGGACTGTCACGGCTTTGCACCAGTCTCCCGGTACCCGCTTTAGTTCCCAACATAAATTAAACAAGGTGTACAGCAGGCCTGCCACCACGTCCTCTCCAGCCCTTAGCATTTCGAGTGAAACTCTATCATATCCGGCTGCCTTACCTACTTTCATGCTTTTCATTGCTTTCATTATTTCATCTATACTTATCTCCATATCTCTTTCATCTTCTTTCGGAATTTCTATTTCATTTAGTTCACACTTCTCCTCACTCATAAATTCGCTTTCAAAATATTCCTTCTATCTCTTTAGACTCAAAACTTCATCATTCAGGATACAGCCATTCTCGTCTCGTATCGTATTCAATCTAGGCTGTTTCGAAAGTCCCCTGGTATTTCTTACGAGTTTCCAGAACATTTTAATATTTGCCTGGAAGTTATCCGATATTCTTCTATCATTCCTATCCGTTCTTTCTTGCTTTTTCCTTTCAACTAATTCTTTTACTCTCTTATTTAAACGTTTAAACTCTGCCTTTTTTCTTTCATTCTCATCATTCTTACCGCCAGAATTACCAGCTTTGGTCGCTAGTAAATCTAGCCATGCTCTCTTCTTTGCTTCAACTTCCATACGTACCTCATCATCCCACCATAGCGTATTGTCTTTCCTTTCATTCGTTCTCTTACTAACACCACATACTTCGGTAGCTGCATCCACTAAACCTTTCTTAACATTATGCCACACATTCTCCAAGTCTAACTCATTCACACACAACTCATCCAAATTACTTATATTTTCTCTCAGTCTGCATTTGTACTTGTCTTTCACATCTTCATCTTGTGACCTCTCAATTCTTATACGCTGTAACGCAGTGGTAGACACAGATGTCCTATGCCGCCAACGTCTGAATAAACCGCTAATTCGGCATAAGACCAGGTAGTGGTCCGTCCCTACGTTGGACCCCCGGTAAACCCTTGTATCTACCACTGCGCTCCTCATTCTTTCATTCACAGTTATGAAATCTATCATGCTTCTATCATCACCTCTTTCCCAAGTATACATGTGAATCTTCTTATGACGAAAGAAAGTGTTCGTCACAAAAAGATTCCATCGACACACATACGGTGAGGAGGCTTTCACCATTCTCATTTATACTTTTATCACCAAACGTTCCCAATATCCTTTTATAACCAAGCCTCCTCACCCCAACCCTTCCATTAAAATCTCCTAGCATAATAATATTTTCATTTCCCTTACACTTCATTAACACCATCCTTACCATTTCCCAAAACTGCTCCCGGATATAAGTGGGCTTAGACATGTCTGGGGCGTAGACCCCTAACACAAACAACTTCTTTAAGCCCACTTTCATTCGTATCCATAGCAGTCTTGGGCTTACACATTCATACTCTTTCACACATTGGCCCATTCTTTCTGAAAGGATGACACCTACTCCCTGGCATGCTCGCTCGATCCCGTCTACACCAGACCAGTATGCGGTATACATGCCATGTGCAGTGACATCCTTCCCCTTCCTTTTCGTCTCATTTACACATAATACATCTATTCCTCTATCATACATCATATCGCATACTTCATCCATTTTATCATTCATCGCCCCACATACATTCAACGTAGCCAGACGGGCCACTTTTCGCCTCTCCGGGTGACAGAACGTGACGGGTGGCGAACCTCGTCGCCGGTTTTCCTCCCGGAGATTCTTCGCACCCCTGCCCCATTAAAGGGGCGCCGGGAACTCGGGGCCATTTCTTTTACTTTTTGCCTCGTGGTGCGAAAACTAGGGCGTGGCATATTTTACGCCGCTACCACACGGCGAGTAGCCGAGTCTGTTCTTTCGGCTTTGTCGCTCTTTTAGCACCACCCGGGGGAAACGTGTAGGGTGGGCCTAGGATTAGGTAGGTGGTCGAAGCCTACGGACGCGAGCGACTTATCCCTTTTATGATAGCCAATTATTATCTTTATATTTTGTAGCTAATTTTTTCTAAATTAACTACAAAATATAAAGATAATAACAAAGGCGTTTTATTAACAAACTTAGATAAATAGTTAAGTAATGCAATCATTTTTGTATTTTAAAAATACTAAAATAACCATATACAAGTAAAAATCTGTTTATATAAGTAGTCTCTTTAATGCAAGGTATTATCGGATATGATTCGTTTTAAAAGAGGAGTATTATCAAACCGTTTTGGAAGCTGAAGGTCAAATAAATAAGTCTATTTGCGTAGCGAACACTAAAGCAGTTGAACTGATACACGTTACGGAATACTATTTACCATCGATACAATTATATTTTTGAAACCTTTATTCAATTTGAGTGTTATAATTTTAAAATGTTGAAAAGTTTTAGGTAAGTTTGTAATTCTTTCACTATGCTCGGTAATACAAATAAATTTTGTTGCTTCATGTAAATATAATCATCAGAACATTCGTTCATTGACGTAATGAAAATCAAGTCTGATAATTGTCTATTGTATAGAATTGACTACATGTGAAACTTTTGTTTTAGATGTATTTATTATAGAAGATATTCAAATGCTCCAAAGCCATTTGATACTATACCTGGTTTATCATCCTTACCTTTTTTGGGTCCAGTACATCATTTTATGCCTTTGATAGGTTTGTATTAGACGAAATGGTACAGATATCATTAGTTTTATAATTATATATTTGTAGTACCCTATCTGTGCTGAAAAATATGCCCATTGTCTTTTAGAACAATATCCAGTACACACTGTAACACAACTTATTGCTTTATTAACCTCCTTATTTTTGTTTTTTTTTTCACAAAACTAAAAAAGGAACAGTAAAAAAATCATTTTGTGATATCCTTTTATTTTAGAGAATTCCCTCGGCGTCGACATCTCGAATGACGTTCAGTTTCGCAGTCCAAGGAAAGGCTAAATTGGCTTCGAAAAAGTTTGGCGTGCTTACTATTTCATGCCTAGAGATATGCCATAGAGTGGCATAGTATTTCAAGCCGGTACTACACCGCTTGCAAGTTTACAAGGTCCAAGTTCAGCCTCACATGGAATACTGTTCTTATCTTTGGGCTGGGGTACTAGTACGTAAGTACTAGTTCTTCCACTTGATCGCATCCAGCCCTGAGCGGCTTGAATCATCGACGATCGAAGTCTTTCTGATCGGCTTGACTCACTGGCATTGTACGACACATCGAGTACTCTACTCGAGAGTTGTTCGGACTAATTCCACCAGACACTAAATTTCACCAACACACATCCGAATGATTCGCGGTCCACCACTGTGCGATCTAAGAGCTTTTAACTCGCGTAACTTCTTTGTGAAAAAAGTTACCGTTAGTTAGTTGAGATTTTTCCGGACCGACACAACTAAGAGGCTTTCAAGAAATTTCTTCTCTTTCTTTTAAATGCCGGCAACGTAACTGCAATTTCTTAGTATTGCAGTTTTTCTTGGGCGGTTGTAGTCACTTGTCATCAGGTGAGCTGCATACTGGTTTGCACCCTATTATATATTCCCAGTGTAAAGTTTTGTATCTGTATACAGAGTGCCCAACGAACACCGAGTCTCTACCTTTGCCATACGTCACCAATTTATAATAATATTAGTAAGTATATTGTTGAATACTTGTTAAGTGTGAAATAGCGGTTTAATATTGAAAAATACAAATACCTTTTTAAATAAAATATATTTATTTAATCAAAGTAGGTATTTACCCTCATTATTAGACATTTCTGTCGTTTGTGATAAAACACTAAGGATCTAGATACTAGTCTTTAAAGGAATTTTCTACTGCTTCTCTAGAACAAAACTTATTCCTGGCAGGAAATTGTTCATGTTGTGAAAAAATGGCAATCGGTTGTGGCTAGGCGAAATTCTTTCATTTCACCACATCAGTTATCAGACAGTAGGTTGATAGTATCAGGTTACCGCAGTTGCACCTCAAACTATTGTACTACGCAATTGCAAACTTTTTTGTTGTACATAATAACAATAAACAAATATGGCTTATTTAATTTATCGCAATCGTCACTTTTGTCAGACGGAATCGCGATCGTAGTACGATATACTTGGCGTCTTTGATGCTGTTCCTGTCGCCGATGCGGGTATATTTACGGCATGATCTAACTATACTGTCATCCATCGGAGGTCAAGAGCTCATGAAGTCATGAAGCATTTGTCTGTCGCATTTCACGATACCAATAAAATGAAATAGGGTGAAAGGCTTTCTTACTCCGCCAGCACACAGCAAATATTGTATTGATATTTTATAGGCTAATCAGTAATTTGTTTCACATATTTACGTAGGTATTCTCGATTTTAGGATCGATTGGTCCGTCGGCAAATTTTTATGATTTAGCCCAGCATCTATATCAAAAGTTTGGAAATATAGTCAAACTCAATGGTATATTTGCTAGGGCCAATATGGTTTTATTGTTTGAGCAGAAGGATTTCGATCAGGTACATTAATTATATTTTCAAGCAACTTTTGTATAAAAATAAAATTCAAAACTATATAATACCAAATTTTGTCAGGTTTACAGAGCTGAAGAAACAGCCCCATTGCGGCCAGGGTTTGATACATTGGTATACTATCAAAAAGAGTTACGAAGAGATATGTATAATGGGGTCTATGGACTAACTACGGCGTAAGTTTTCACGTCAGAGGAACATAAAACTTTAAAAACGGTTTTTTTTAATTTTTTGAAAAAAAAAATTTGAAAAAAAAAAGACAAATTTGAAATATTGTTGTAGGTAAGGTTAAGGTTAATTATAATTTATAATATAAAATATCTGGTCACCTTTAGACCACGGGGCACATACGACACACCGGCAGTGAAAAATACCAAAGTTAAAATTTAACAACAAAAAAAAATTATAAAATAAATTTATTCAATTAAATATATTATTATTAAAATTTTAGCTGTGGTGTAAATTGTTAGGTATTTTCACAAAATAGTAATATTATAAATAATAAAGCAATAATCATAAAATTAGATAGAATGAAGATCTGGCAAGACACGCAGGAAGTCTATGGAATCAGGTGGCTCAGGACCGTGCTTTGTGACATTCCTTGGGGAGGCCTATGTTCAGCAGTGGACTTGTGAATTTAGGATGATTTATGCCAGACCGTGAAAAGCGCAAGTCGCGTCAGAGCCGTGCGTGGCTTGAACCTACGAGCTACGCGTTCTTACGAGTATATCATACAGTGTTCCCAGATCACGGAATTAAAACGATACAGTATACTCAGATTCAATCACAGTATTGTAAATTATTTTAGGTAATAGTTCATAATTAATTTACGCAGAGCGTAAAATTACCTTGAATTGCCTTCGGCTTTCAAATTTGTTTTAAATATTGTTCGGGGTGTATTTGCAGAGTAAACCATAGATCAATAAAGTCTAAACTTTTCTATAATCGGGGACGTATATTGTGCAATACAACGCTATTAATAAATGTTGTGACAGCATAAGTATGTAACGTGTCTGATTTGTGTCCGTTAGTTTAACGAACTTAACTTGGATATTTTATCATGATCATCATTACAGTCACTTCACGAGTTCAGCAACTCTCTCTGAATCCACTGCTGCACATAGGCTTTTGCCATAAATTGTTACAAAGTACGGTTCTGAGTCACCTGCATCTATCGACTTACTTCAACTACTGTAGGTTTAAAAAATAAAAATATAAATTTCTTCACAACCTTCCGCCAAACAAATACAATGATGTGTAAGCTAAGCTTAGCGGTAAGCCGCCGTAGAGTCTACATTACCTGAAGATGCCTCGTGTAGAGGCGTAACACGTGTCGTATTATCGTCGATGGTGCGTCTTGCCTGGAATAGTGGTGTTGGGAGTAGTGGTGCTGGGATTAGTGGTGACGGAGTTAGTGCATGCAATTGAGGGAGGGCGGGAGGTGCTCTTCAATCCAGGTAAGACACATCATTGTATTTGTTTGGCGGAAGGTTGCGAAGAAATTTATATTTTTATTTTTTATTATAATGGATTTCCGCAAAGTAACGCCTGATTCTATCAATTACTGTAGGTTTTACTACATGTGCTCGCTCAATAAGTCGTTTGCTAGTACGAAGCACCCTTTATTCTCTATTGGTTGCCAATTATTCAACCCCTGAGGCTTTTGCGTTAACTAAAATGGAGCAATAATCATTTGTAGTTCACGTTTGGTTGTTAGGGTTGACTTGACAACTAATCTCGAACTGATCTCTTTTTTATAGAAAGGATGAAGCACCCAGTCCACGTGATGGTAAGTGGATGCCGTGGCCTATAGACATCTACACTTATCCTCGATTACGAATCAAAATGCGATGTGTTGTCACCCGTGAGAACTTAGATGAATACCTCGTTTCCAGTAAAAAAGAGTCTCCGGTTCTCTACACTCATCATACGAAACACAGCAGCTTTGAGCTGCTGTTTTACGGTATTATGTGAGAGCGTGGTTCCGCACGGTTGAGCCGACCCATTCGTGTACAACTATAATATAGCTGTAGCGTGGCTCTACCACGTAAAAAACGTTACTTTACTTAATCTGTTGCCTTTATTTATAGGATAGAGTGACAAACCAGCACACAGTCCACTTGATGGTAAGTGGTTGTTGCGGCCCATAGACATCTACATCTTTCCTCGATTACAAATCAAAATGCAGATGCGTTGTCACCCGTAAGGACTAAGATGGTTATGCCTATTTTCGAGTAAAAAGGGTCTCCGGTTCTCTACACTACCATACGAAACACAGCAGCATTAAGCTACTATTTTACGCTGGTATTCTGTGACACTGCCACTTCACTGCGGTAGATTACCTTAACTCTTATTACTTCTACGTATACGACGTAATACGTTCCGTTTTTCCTTCGAAAATATATGCAAAGTTAATTACTAACCTACCAAACGGTATGTAACCATTACGTGTTGCAACACAAATCAGTCAGGTCTCGATTTGAAAAATGCTAAGAAGCCAATCTTGTTAAATAAGAATCGTAACAGAAAAAGATCCATGTGATTATTTATCTAATTTATTTAAATATATAAAATGTATGACATGTTCTGAGGAAATCCTTTATACAATAAATATTAGAAATAAGGAAAGGATTTTGATACTGTAGCCTAGGCATAATGAGATCGTAGAGTGAGAGATAGCGTGTTCTGTTCTATTCAGGCTGAGAATGCAAATGCTACTCGATTGCTACTCTGGATCACCCAAATATTTGAGCAATATTGCTTTTATTCCGTTTTTTATTCTGTGCGGTTAAAGAATGATATTGAAAATAGCGTCGCCTCTATTCATCTCTCACTCGCACACTGTCGCTATCTATAATCACACTCGCTCATAGACTGCAAAAAATACGTTGCAATATGCGTTTTCGTATTCTGTAACTACGGTCCAACTTGTCATTGAAATCAATGATAACAAAATGACATAAACAAAAAAAATCAGTCCGGTTTAGCTAATAGTGATAATACGACGTTATAGCTTGTATGTGTGCTCCAGGCGACGCATATTATCGTAAAAAATTCTATGATACAGACTAACACTTTATCTGAAAAATTTAAGAGACTTTATTAAAATAGAAATATTGATAAGATAAAACAAATGGTCCTTAATGATTATTTTAAGTCTAAATAACGCCACATTAATAGCTCCCCCACACAAGCGAAGTCAGAAGAGTTCGTTTAAAATTTAGTTATAAATGTTATTTTAAAATTAATGTACCTACTTGCGTATATAATTATTTTCAAATATTTTCCTATGAACCGGAAATATAACTACTGTGCATGTTGACATTACTTACGGGCTCGATGAGCCTCCATTTTTTATCCCTACGGACTGTAATAACTTATATTAAAATGTTTCTATAAATATGCGAAAGTGTTTTTTTTTGTTTAATTTGTAAACTGTGTACGTTTATTTATTTATATTTACAGGCAAGGCCTGAAATGGCGTGATTTTCGAACAAAAGTAAACCCAGTTTTGTTAAAACCGAAATTGGTCAAACTGTACACACCAGCTTTAGATGAAATTGCAAAAGAAATGATAACCAGGTATGTAAGCAAAAAACTTAAATGTTTAAAAAAGCATAGGTTGCAGGAATTGTACACATATCTTCGTGAAAAGCCCACATAACCGTGTAGTAAGCGTATATTACTCAGTTTGAAGTTAGCTAGCTGCTCAATAAAGTAGCCCACGCATTTCTTCAGATGATACGTTGCATAGCAAACATTAACATATTATCGACGGTACTTATTTTACGGAATTCATCGAGTTTATTTAACTTATCCTTACTTATTTTAATTACCAACGATTCGAGTGCTTTAGACACAATATGATCTAAGTATTGTACTCTATCCTTCTCTGAAAAAGAGATATAATGGAAGATTATATTTTCGACAGATTTTTGGTTACACGATGGTGATATACTAAAAGAACGATCATATTTTCCCAGGTTGAATAAATGTAAGTATGACAAAAACTATCTGCAGTGGAATTTGGATTTGGAAATAACGAAGTGGTCATTAGAATCGGTAGCATACATTGGCTTAGGCACAAGGCTTGGGAGCTTCCGAAATGGAACGGAGAACCAGAAAGCAAATATTTTAATAAAATGTGCTCGAGATATGATGGAGCTGGCGTATAAATTGGAATTCTTTCCAAGTCCTTGGCGATATTTCGCAACACCGAATTTCAAGAAAATGATCAAAACTTTAGATACGCAGTGGGAGTAAGTATTATCGTTCAATTTTCTTTGGTTTTGTTACATGAGGAGCGAAACTTAAATATAGCTAATGTGTTCATCTTAGAGAAAAATTAAATAACACAATCGTATTAGCGCAGCATAATTTGTATATATTTTTGGAAATAGTTTGCAATTCGAACACAGATGGTTAATAACAAGTTCCAACTAGTAATCTGTTAAAATCAGTTAATATCCTGTAAGTCTGTTGCTAATAGGATTGTCCCTAAATGATACTGTTATATCGCAGTTAGCACAGTTAGTTGAACTTTTGGTGCCCGCAATACATCTAAAATCACATGAGCTCTTCAACATTCTATTGTCTAACACAGAACGTACCTGAGACTGACAACCCGCCCCAAAACTACTAACCTTAAATCTCTGAAACATTAGCATGATTCCACACACTAACAACTTGAACAAAATTTAAGAAGAATTACCTATCTTGCAAGTCAAGAGCATGTCAAATCAGATAGATACTTCTAACTTTATTCGAATAAAAATAATTTGACATTTATACTAGAAAGAACTGGAAGTGTTTTCACCCGTAAGAAATTTAACATATTAACAGTATTTACACCAAAAAAATATATTCACCACAAAACTTTTCTGGTATCTAGTACATACTAGTTTATGCCATGAATATAACACGTTAAACGCTGAATTTTTAAAACAAGGCATTAATAAGATGTATGGCTTAAAAGCTAGTATAAAAGAGAATATTTTTCAGTAACGACTTTACGTTATAAAACATTCATGAAATACAATAGTATACAATTAGAGTTAAATACAAGATGGGTAACACTTATAGTTTTTTTTATAGAATAAGGATGACAAACGAGCACACAGTCCACCTGATGGTAAGTGAATGCTGCGGCTCATATACATCTATATTTAACCTCGATTAAGAATCAAAATGCAAATGCGTTGTCACCCCTGAGGACATACATACATATAAACACTCACGCCTGTCACCCAGAGGGGTAGGCAGAGACTACAGACTTCCATTAGGCACGATCCTGACACACCTCTCTCTTGCCTCCTTCACATCCATACACCTACGCATACATGCTCGTCGGTTAAGGGTACTCCTAATTTGGCCCGTTTTCAATAAATCGCCAATTTGGTCGATAAATTTTCGCCTAGGACGTCCCTTTCCGACTCTGCCATTCACTTCTGCAACATAAATTTCCTTTGTCACTCTTTCCTCATTCATTCTTTCCACATGACCAAACCACCGAAGCATTCCTTTCTTAATCCTGGTCACAACATCATCTTGCAAACCACACTCTTCTCTTATTACACAATTTCTTACCCTGTCATTCAGATTCAGCCCTAACAGACCGCATTTCTACTGCGTTTATTCTACTCTCGTGCTTCTTCTGCCACACCCAACTTTCACTACCATACGTTAAAGTAGGGACCAACACAGCATTGTGAATTGCCATACGTGCCTTTTTCGATCACATTTTGACTCTTCACAATAGAGTGCAAGGCCCCATTTACTCTATTTCCCGCATTCACTCGTCGTTCTATATCCTTATCATATCTCCCATCCCTGCTAAATACGCAGCCCAAATATACAAACTCATCTACTTGCTCGATCAACTCCCCTTCTATTCTTATTTCACAAATCGTTTTACTTTCCTCTCTTTCAAAAACACCATAACCTTCGTCTTACTTGCGTTCACTTTCATACCCCTTTCTTTTAATGATCCGTTCATTAATGTAACCATCATTTGCAACTCGGCCGCCGACGACGCAAGAATAACTTGATCATCGGCGTACAAAAGGCATTTGACGGTTAACTCACCCATTCTTAATCCGCATTCTTCAACTTTACAAATTTTGCAAACATGTCCATAAATAGGTTGAACAGCCACGGGGAAGCCACACAGCCCTGTCTGACACCTTTATGGATGCCAAACCAGTCTGAGTAAACCCCGTTGCTTCTAAAACAAGCATTAGAGTCCCTATAAAAAGACTTTAATGCCTGTCTCAACCCAGCATTCAACCCAAATGAGTTCAGTGTTTGCCATAGCAAATCCCTATCCACTCTGTCATAGGGCTTTTCCAAGTCCATGAACGCACAAAAAACCTTTTGGTTTTTGGCCAGAAACTTCTCCGCGATCATGCGCATGGAAAAGACTTGATCTGTACATCCCATTCCCTTTCTAAATCCCGCTTGCACATCCCAAATTTTTCCATCAGTTTCTTTCATGACCCTTTCAATCAGTACCTTAGCATACAGTTTTCCCACAATGCTAAGAAGGCTGATGCCACGGTAGTTTTTACAGTCCTGCTGCGACCCTCTTCCTTTATATACTGGGACTATCACGGCTTTGCACCAGTCTACCGGTACCCGCTTCAGTTCCCAGCATAAATTAAACAAGGTGTGCAGCAGGCCTGTACCTCTTCCTCTCCAGCCCTTAGCATTTCGAGTGAAACTCTATCATATCCGGCAGCCTTACCTGCTTTCATGCTTTTCATTGCTTTCATTATTTCATCTATACTTATCTCGCTACCTCTTTCCTCTTCTTTCGGTGTTTCTACTTCACTTAGTACACACGTGGTCTCCTCACTCATATAACACGCTTTCAAAATATTCCTTCCATCTCTTTAAACTCAAAACTTCTTCATTCAGATTATAGCCATTCTCGTCTCTTATAGCATTCATCATAGGCTGTTTTGAATGTCCCCTGGCAGTTCTTACAAGTTTCCAGAACATTTTAATATTTGCCTGGAAGTTATCCGATATTCTTCTATCATTCTTATCCGTTCTTTCTTGCTTTTTTCTTTCAACTACTTCTTTTACTCTCTTATTAAGATGTCTAAAGACTGCCTTTTTTCTTTCAATATCACCATTCGTACCACTAGAATTAGCAGCCTTTGTTGCTAGTAAATCTAGCCATGCTCTCTTCTTTGCTTCAACTTCCATACGTATCTCATCATCCCACCATAACGTATTATTTTTCCTTTCATTCTTTCTCTTACTAACACCACATACTTCGGTAGCTGCATCCACTAAACCTTTCTTTACATTTTGCCATATATTCTCCAAGTTTAACTCCTTCATACATAATTCATCCAAAGCACTTATATTTTCTTTCAGTCTACATTTGAACTTGTTTTTATCACTTTCATCTTGTAACCTTTCTGTTCTAATACGCTGTAACGCAGAGGTAGACACAGACGATCGATGGCGCCAACGCCTGAATAGACCATTAATTCGGCATAAAACTAAATAATGATCCGTTCCTACGTTAGAACCTCGGTAAACTCTCGTATCTACCACTGCGCCCCTCAATCTTTCATCCACAATTATGAAATCTATCATGCTTCTATCGTCACCTCTTTCCCAAGTATACATGTGAATCCTCTTGTGGCGAAAGCAAGTGTTCGTCACAAAAAGATTCTTTTCCATACATACGGTGAGGAAACTTTCACCATTCTCATTTATACTTTCATCACCAAACGTTCCCAATATCCTTTCATAACCAAGCCTCCTGACCCCAACCCTTCCATTAAAATCTCCTAGCATAATAATATTTTCATTTCCCTTACACTTCATCAACCATCCTTACCATTTCTCAAAACTGCTCTTGGATATAAGTGGGCTTAGACATGTCTGGGGCGTAGACCCCTAACACAAACAACTTCTTTAAGCCCATTTTCATTCGTATCCATAGCAGTCTTGGGCTTACCCATTCATACTCTTTCACACATTGGCCCATTCTTTCTGAAAGGATGATACCTACTCCCTGGCATGCCCGCTCGATCTCGTCTACACCAGACCAGTATGCGGTATACATGCCATGTGTAGTGACATCCTTCCCCTTCCTTTTCGTCTCATTTACGCATAACACATCTATTCCTCTATCATACATCATATCGCATACTTCATCCATTTTATCATTCATTGCCCCACATACATTCAACGTAGCCAGACGGGCCTCTGCAATCCACTTTTCGCCTCTCCGGGAGACAGAACGTGACGGGTGGCGAACCTCGTCGCCCCTGAGGACTAAGATGCAATACCTCGATTTCAGTGAAACAGGTCTCCGGTTCTCTACACTCACCAAACGAAACACAGCAGCATTAAGCTGCTATTTTACGGTGGTATTCAGTGAGAACGTGGTCCTTCACCGCTCGAGCCGACCCATAATATAGTTGCAGCGTGGCTCTACTACGTATAAATAAAACCAACAGTAGCACTGTCCAATGCTGCGAAATCTACCAACAGCTTTGGGACACAGGACAACCTCTCGCAATAGAATCTTTCTACATTTGTAAAGAAAATACTTCAACAGATAGAATCACGACTCCAAACTGCTATAAAGCTGCTCAAACGAGAAAGAGAGGGGTTTATGAGAGATACTCTCTGTTCTTTTTATTTTATTTATCATCTTTTGTTATAAGACATAAATTTTGCGTTTTTTTTTTAGAATAAGCGAATATTATATTAAAGAGGCCAAGAAAAAAATTGATGAACGGAAACACAGTATACCAGAGGAAGATAAGAGTATCATAGAGAAACTGTTGGCAATTGATGAAAAAGTAGCCATTATGATGGCAAATGAAATGCTTTTAGCTGGTATTGACACGGTTGGTACTTTGAACTTCGTAGAATAAAATAGTAGATCAAACCCAAAACTTCTAAGGTCTGAGAATGTATATTCTTATAAGAATATACATTCACTATATGAGAAGTTTAACATATTTTGTGAGTAATTGCACAATTATAAGCTAATTAACAAAATATTTTTTATCAAATGTTTTTTCGGTAGTAACTTAACTGTTTGATACTCGAGATGGTATACAAGTTAACATTGGTAACAAAGATCAAGCACGACTGGAAGTGGCTCATATTATTGCGGTGTGTGAAATGTGTTTATTATATTATGTTTTTTAAAAGTAGATATGTTCTTTGACTTTTTTATTGTTACATAGTATGTATATCTTTATTTGGTATTTCGCGTACTAATATACAACTATAATGTAGGCATGTTTTAGTAATATTCATTAATTTCGTTTCTTTATAAAGTGTAGATGTTGACGTGCGATAGTAGTAATTGAAACATATTTCTCATAATTTATTTTGTACGTTTTGCAATAAACTTGTATTTTTTTACAAGTAGTGCCCCAAACTTCTATTAAGTAATTAATATGCGGTTTTATCAATAAATTATAGAATAAATAGCGTACTTGAAGAGATAAGCTGCAAATAATACCTACCTTGTAATGCTCCAGTGAGGTATGTTAGTTTTGCTTTAACTTTTCTTGATCTACTTTATTAATTATTTGATGGTTTATTTTTAAAGGTGTTTTTTTACTTTTGTATTATGTTTATTAGTTTATTATGTTTATGGAATTTTTAGAAAATATAATATTTTTGGACCATGATTATAAAAGAATTATTATGCACAGATTTTAAAAAACTTTTACGCTATAAATATTTTTTCTTTATATGCTGAAAAGGAGTGTCTAATTCCACAAAACTTCAGTCATTAGAAAAGTACAAGCAAATTTTGAATTAACATGATATCTAAAGTATAAGCAAACAGATCATGTATTATCACAGATTCTTTTAATCATATAAATTCTTATAAAACATTAAATTAAATTTTTTAGGTAGCTTTTACAACTATTGGCCTGCTTTACAATTTGGCGACTAATCCAATAGCACAAGAAAGATTACGCATGGAATTGCAATCTGATCAATCTAACAAACCATATTTTAGAGCGTGTCTCAAAGAATCAATGAGATTATATCCTGTACTGCCTGCAAATTTACGACGCACTTCCAAAGAACATGTGGTGGCTGGATATCATATTCCAAAAGGGGTGAGATTTAAGTCCTTAATTTTAATATTAGACTTTACAAGATGTCTTCAATTGAGTTCAGGACAAAGCTAACAGCATAAATTCAAGAGGTTCTCACCAGAGAACATCAGAGCATCATACGGATGACCTCTGTTTATAATTATTATTCACCTTTTTACTTTGCTTAAAGTTGGTTAAAGTGTCGATAGACTGCAGTAGTCACTCACCACCAGGTTGACTGTAAATTCACTGGTCACTTTCATTTTATAAAAAAAGAAAGATAAGGTGTAAAGTTAGAAAGACGAGGCTTCTGTCTTGCATTATAAAAATAAACGGGTTAACTAAAAGTTTTGCTAGTTAAAAGCCTATATAATATGTCCTACTGCCGCGCAGAGGTCTCCCTTCATTTGTTTTCTTCAGTCTGTGAGCATGAAGACCGCGTTACGATCCTTGTTTCTATTTTTAAGTTCTAATCAGTGACATTATTTGTTCAAAATAAAAAAAAAAAAGAATTATTGGTTATCTAGTTTAGAATTTTCGATTATCCTTGTATTTTAAAAACAGTCAATATCATCGATTGCTTTTCATAAGTTTTATACATCATTATCTTGGGGTGCAAACGCGTCGGGATTTTCGATCGAGTAGTACGCGTACTACTCGATCAACTATAAAAGCGACTATAAAACGTGGTATCTCCCGAGGTTGAACGTATCGATGCCGTGAATGTTTTCGATGAATGCAGTATCTGCGATAGAATGTGGGCGGTGAGATCGCACCTTTAGCTTAATTCAGGTTTCGAAAATTATCACCGCGGTCGAAATCGGCAAGAAGAATAAAATCTGATGCTTATATTACATACTTGACTGCATTCCGCTATTAATGTTGATCTTTATTATATTATAAAAATATAACTTTAGGTGGATGTTATTGCTCCCAACGAGTTCTTATCAAAATTGGAGAAAAACTATGTAAGGCCAGTGGAATTCTTACCAGAAAGATGGCTAGTAGATAAATTAGATCCCCTATATTATGGGAAAGCTCATCCTATGACAACACTACCTTTCGGATTTGGAGTGAGAAGTTGTATAGGAAGAAGAATAGCAGAGTTAGAGATTGAAACATTCATAAAAAGATTATTATGTGATACAAAAGTAGGCTGGGACGGTCCTTCATTGAAAGTTGTCACCAAAGTGTTTAATAACTTTAAAAAGCCATACTATTTTAAATTTGAAAGCATTTCATAATAAAAATGTAAAATAAATAAAAAAAACCTGAATTAACTTTATGTATATTACTTGTAAAAATATTATAATAAAATTATTCTTAATAAAAATTATCATTATAAGGGCTTTCTATACTTTCCTTGTACCCAAACCCTGTACATTGTTAACATCTTGCCTCGATTCACTTGAAGTCTTCGGTCAATCAAATTTTGCTCTTCTAAAAAGCCATTAGTAATAAATAACTGTTTAACTTCTTCTTGAGTAAAGAAATATACTTTGGTATTATCTCCGCGAGCATAGAAATTGTCAGAAATGCAACGACCTTTCTTGAATCTAAGTTGAGCCAAGTCATATTTCCCATAATCTCGGAACACAACCAATCCTCCTGGTTTTAAATATTTATAAATGTTTTTTATAACACCTGGCATCCTGAAATAAATGAGTTTTAAAGTAGTATAAATATCAAGATTAACAGACTTTTTAAGGACAGCATACACTTTAGAATAAGCTTATTTTTAAATAAATATATAATAAATATCATGTTATCTACTGTGTAACATAATATATACGAGCTGATGACAATCTCAGTATTAAACTGAGATTGTCTAAATGCCAGCTAAGCCCAATTAATCCCTGGTTGGAGAGGTATGTGCCCAAAAATGCTATATTATGTATCCTTGCTAAATTGAAAACGATTTAGAAGTTTTATGTTGTAATTTTTTAACATGTTTATCAAATAGTACTTAATTGGAATTTTTGTGTACTTTTGGACATGGCAGTGCATGCCCGACACATATTCTCAAAATAATGTGCATGTAAAATTAGTTACTTAATTTTTAAATCACTATAATAATATACTCTGTCGCTATAATAAATCTTACTATATTGTAAACCAGTCGTGCTTTCCTGCATCACTGGTGTGAAGATTAGTATTTCTAACACTTACAACAGAATACTAATGGCTAAAATGAGTCTGATTTCTTATTTGTGAGGCGGGTATATTTTAGTTTCTTCACTAATAAAATAAAACTTGTTACATTTATCGTTAAAAATACGTTTCCACTGAGTTGTAATGATTATTTTGAGTAAAAGTCATAAAAATACTCCATGAAATAGAAAATATAAGTATTCAAAGGGTGAAAGCAAATAAAATATGGAGGCATTTTGAAATAATACTAGTTTTTACGGATTTTATCGCGTATATTTAACTTTTTAAATACCCGACGTTTCGAACGCTTTACAGCACTCATGGTCACGGGTGGGACTGGTCCAGTAAAAAGTTAAATATACGCGATAAATTCCGTAAAAACTAGTATTATTTCAATGTGTAGTGTTCGCGTAAATATAAGAAATCATTATGGAGGCATTGCTAACTCTAATAAAATGACCCAACGCAAGTTGAGCTGCGGTAGACGTGGCGTCATATTAGGGGATTTCACAATCTTTTCTACCATTAGAGTGGCGTCACTTTGAACTGAGGTGAAATATTTGACAGATTTAATGACGGGGAAGTGAAATTGTCGGAAAAGTGTAATAATTTTTAATTTCCGAAATATTAGTTATATTTTATTATAATTAAAGAAGAAATGGACAAACCAAACTACAGATAAAGTTTCAATGGATGTAACGGAGAAGAATAAAAAAGGGGTCAAAATAAACTTGCTTGCTCTAAGCCTCCCTCAGATATGAGTGAAGGCTTTTTTACTAGGTATAGTTATACGACCGACTGGGTAGGACTGGCACCACCATCTCATCTATTTCTACCGGCAAATAGCAGTGCTTGCATTGCTGTGTTCCCATCTGAAGGGTATAGAGCCAGTATAATTACAGGCTGTGAGGCATTGCATCTTAGACCTTAGAGGTGACAGTACATTTTTAGCCATTTTTGTATGAAGTTTGTTGCAGGTGCAGCAGGTCTATGGGCTGCAGTAGCGACGTGCCATCAGGTGAACTTTTTTTTTTTTTTTTTTAAAGTAGGTAGTTTTTTTTTTAAAAGGACTGTAAGTTTGATTGTTACTATTTTTAAACCCAGCGGTGGAAAAGGTCCGTTATTCTCATAATTTTAATATGCACCAAGTAGTTTTTAATTTTATTTTTAAGTGTCCATTGAGTGGTGGAAGAACACTCAAGAATAATTTGCAGACACAGACAAAGATAAATAAAACAAAAAAGTTAGATAAACGACACAGCTTCCTGAAATAAAAAGGAGCAACAAATAAGTCCGAAACATACTTGAAACCATACCCAACACTAAAAACTAATCAGATTAATACATAAATTCAATGATGATAATAAACTACATTATCAATTATCATACATAATAAAAAAGAACATATATCTTTTACAAATAAAAGTTAGTCACACCGGAGGTGTGAATTCTAAATGTATAGTTAATAGTAACAGTTTTTAAAATATTTTAAATTTGGGGTAAAAGCGTTGAGGAAGAGGGGGGGGGGGGGGGGGGTTGAGCGTTTTTTTTGTTTGATTTTTTTTTTTTTATTAAAAAAAAATAAAAAAAAAAAAAAAATCTTCAAAAAAAAAAAAAGGGGTTTTTTTTACTGTTATGAAGAACATCGTGCTTTGGCGAAAAATTTTTTAGGGTTAAAGGGCTTTCTATTTTTTCTGCAAACGCACCATTAATTCATAACTTACTTTGAAGGATCAATTGCAGACAATACAAAGATTATAGCTATAATGTCAATTGAATTTTCTTTAAATGGGACTTCCCAGTCAGTAATTGTTGCATCTAATACAAACACATTACATCTTTTCGTATCATAGAGTTTATTTTGTTGCATAATTTCAATAGCTTTTGATGAGAAATCACAGCCATATATAAATAAATTAGGATCCTGGCTGTATTGCAGGATGGGAAAGATAGTATTTCCAACTCCACATCCTATCTCAAATATATAACGCTTAGTATTTTTGTCATTGGTAACAGATTCTGTCAATGGAATTGGTTTTTTATCACTATCTGGGTACACTCTTTCTGGTGCAGATGTGTTATCAGGTGCTAATTCAGGGAATTCTGTGAACAACCAGTGGCGATCCTTGAAGAACCTGAAGAAAAAAGGAAAATTATCTATTACTAATAATAATTAAAATGGTAAATTAATTTATGAAAATGTTTAGTCTACAAGAGATCACAAGGAACCGATAACCGTTACTATTGCAGCCATAGATAGCCTCATGGGGAGTATATTTGCCATAGTTGCCATACTTAGCAAGATGCAGACTTTAATTTAGGTCATTATTAGGAAGATGCTGCTGCCCGTCTCCTATTTTAACCATGTATTCTTAATTGTACCATCTTAAAATTGTAATATGACACATAATAAACAATTTGAATTTGAATTTTGTTTCCCTCTGTCACATCTTACGACACCTATAGGATGATATGGGGTTGTACGGTCCACAATTTGCGACTCGTATGGCTCCTTTGGGAATTAAGTCAGTTTAGACTATTTTCAATACAAGCGTCGAATCTGGTGTTTCCTGATATAGTGTAACAATGTAAGGTTCTACCTTTATTCAAATCTGGTAGTACATTAGACTCCGCCAATTTTAGGCCAATTTTTGCACTATGTATTTATATATATTAAGTAAATTTTTTGAAAAAAAAATATTTACATCAGATGTTAAGTTTTATTTTATATAAATAATTTGCTTCATACAAGACAAAGGAGTCGTTCAAGAACCAATGCCGGAGTTGAGCTTATAAAATATTTTTTTCGTGCATGGGAGAATTCAGAGGATGCTTTGGGTATATTTTGGGTATAACCTTTCCAAAGCCTTCAACTGTGTTCACCATGAAACACTAATCAGGAAACTACAGTATTATGGTGTCATGAACACAGCGCCTAAACTTATTACTTCATATTTAAATAATAGAATGCAGAGTTATTATCAATAAAGTTCTTCCAGGTCACCCGTACAGATGGGTGTCCCTCAAGGCTCATTTCTTGGCCATTACTATTTTTAGTGTTAATGATTTACCTTCCCTTGTAGGGGATAACATATGATACTATAATACCCCCCCCCCCGAACGGATTTCCGCCGTCGAGGCGGGGAGGGGGGGCTTAGTAGCCGTGGCTCGGTCATACGCGGTGAACAAAGAGAAACCCACACATGGCTGGCCCGAGGTGGCCACTCCGTGTGGGCTCGCCGAGCCCACTTCGGATGTGTGCTGGTGGGCGGCGGCGAAAAGGGGTGTCCTTTCCCTCTACCGCTGCACCCGAGGTGGAGTCGCGGAGGAAGAGGAGTGTTGGTATGACGATGCGCCACTCGCCCTATCGGGGCCGCACTGTTGATGCGGTGGTGGGGGGGCTGCGGGGGGAGGGGATTGTCGGTATTGCAAGCCACCGATCTCCATACCCTTCGCACGTCGAATTTTGGTTGGCGGCGGAGCCATAGACTAGATCCGCCGCTGGGGTCAGGAAGGCTAGTGCTTTTCAGTGTTCGTTTTTCCTGGCCCCATGGCCTTCACGCATCGGACACGTGGGCGTCCGTTGCGCAGGTGTAGTTGGAGGCCATGGAGGAAGGCACGCCATGTGTTCTGGTGCGCCTTACTTGAGAAAGAGAAAGGCGAAAGCATTCCCGTGGCCTCGCCAAAATGCGACGAAGGTGGAACGCCATGAGGTTTTAGTCGGTGCGAGTCCGACATAACCCGTCTTTGCCCCCGCGAGGTGAATATGCGTAGGCATTTTCCCATGTAAAAATAAATTAAAAAAAGGATACTATAATACACAATAGAACCTTATTTTGTATGAGAACCGGTGTCGCTGGGAGGACACATACATATAAGCAGTTGCGTCATATTATCACTAGTAGAAATATTTTCATACAAAAATATATACAGGAATGGGAAAGATGGTTGACAGAAGTTACCTTGGACCGTCTAGGCGAAAACGTGTTCCCAAAGGAAGAGGAACTAGTGTCCTTTACTTGGCAATGACACTTTTGAAGGACCTGGAGGCGTAATTATACTTATTTATAAGAGCGCTGGTATTTACATCTCA